AGCCAGGGCCAGGGACGAACCACGAGCGAATCACGAACCACGACGAAAATAAAACATAGCCGTGCAAGAGAAGAACGGGTTCTGCGGCCCAGGGGGGCTGTCCTGGGAAACCTGGACGGAGGAAGGCTCCCAAGGGTGGGTGGCCCAGGGGAGCTGGGGCTCAGGCTCAGGGGGGGGGCGAGGGGGACGAACCACCAGGGGGGCTGCCCTGGGAAGCCTGGACGGAGGGGGGGTCCCAAGTGGGGGTGGCCCAGGGGAGCTGGGGCTCAGGCTCAGGGGAGGGGCCGAGGGGGACGAACCACGACGAACCACGAACCACGACGAAAAAAAGGATGTCCGCGGCCCAGGAGGGGCGACTGTACTGGAAGCCTGGACCCCGTCCACAGCCTCCGAAGGGTGGGTGGCTCAGTGGCCAGTGGCGCTGGGGCTCAGGCTCAGGGGAGGGGCCGAGGGGGACGAACCACAGAACCACGAACCACGACGAAAATAAACGAATGTCCGTAGCGCTTAGAGCACAGGCTGCTGGCAAGAGAATAAAAGGGTTCCGCGGGTTCCCCAGGGGGGCTGCCCTGTGAAGCATGGACGGATGGGGGGTCACAAGGGTGGGTGGCCAGGCGGAGCTGGGGGCCTCAGGCTCAGGGAGGTGGGGGGCGAGGGAGGACGAACCACCACGAGCCACGACGAAAATAAAGCGTTCCGCGGCCCGGGGGGGGGGCTGCCCTGGAAAGCCTGGGCGGAGGAAGGCTCCCAATGGGGGGTGGCCCAGGTGAACACCACCACGAGCCATGCCGAAAATAAAGGGTTCCGCGGCCCAGGGGGGCTGCCCTGGGAAGCCTGTACGGAGGAAGGCTCCCAAGAAGGGGTGGCCCAGGGGAGCTGGGGCTCAGGCTCAGGGGGGGGGGTGCGAGGGGGATGAACCACCACGGGCCACGACGAAAATACAGGGTTCCGCGGCCCAGGGGGGCTGCCCTGGGAAGCCTGGGCGGAGGGGGGGTCCCAAGGGGGGGTGGCCCAGGGGAGTGGGGCTCAGGCTCAGGGGGGGCGGGGCGAGGGGGGCGAACCACCACGAGCCACGACGAAAATAAAGGGTTCCGCGGCCCAGGGGGGCTGTCCTCTGAAGCCTGGATGGAGGAGGGGGTCCCAAGGGGGGGTGGCCCAGGGGAGCTGGGGCTCAGGCTCGGGGCGGGGGGGGGGGGCGAGCCGGACGAACCACCACGAGCCACGACGAAAATAAAAATGTCCGAGCTCTAGCGCACACCTGTGCAAGAGAATAATGAGGCATGGAGGAGGTGGAGGAGGAAGAGGAGGAGGGGCTTAGCAACAGGCAGCGCCGCTTGGGCGAAGGCGCACCCCTTCCCCCTCCCCCTCCCAGAGGCGCACCCCACGTCCGCCTCTGAGGGGCCTGGGGTGGTGGCTGGCCAGGCCCTGCGGCGCTCGATGCGTCCCCCCGTAACCTTTTTTTCTCATGGTCCACGCCCCTCCCCTTGGAGCGCCAATGGTCGAGGAGGCTGCGAGGCGAGGCTCTTAGGGGGCCACATGCGAACCCTACCCCTACCCCCCACGATTTCTGAGGGGGAGGGTGGGGTTCACTTCTTTCGGGAGCTCTCGAGCAAAGTGAACCCCACCCTTTCCCTCAGAAGTCGTGGGGGGTAGGGGTAGGGTTCGCATGTGGCCCCCTAGCTCTGGGTCTGCGTTGACGGGCCGTTGCGAATTTCTAAGACTGGCAGGAGGCGAAGAGAAGGGAAGATGGGGAGGGACAGCTCCCAGGGCCGCACCGTGTCGCGGACCTGCCCTTTGGCACCGAGGCGCCGAGGACGGAGATGTATGACGTGGTCGGGGTGGGCGCGGGGCGGGCGGAAAGGGCCGGGGAGGAGGAGGAGGAGGAGGAGGAGGCGGAGGAGGAGGAGGAGGAGGAGGAGGAGGAGGAGGAGGAGGAGGAGGAGGATGGAGCATGGAGAGTGTGCCCCAAGAGGCCTAACAACTCGGATCCTTGAGATTCGGACCTCGATCTCAGGAGGTCCACGCGGAGGTCCTACGGAGGTACACAAACACGGACCTCCAGAGGCCCCTTGGAGTCTTCCAGAGGCCCAGGGGGCAAACAAGAAACTGACCCCCCCAGTCGTTTTCCTTCTCCTGCTCGCCGCGATTTTCCTCCTCGTCTCCCATTCCTGTTCCTTGTAGATAACTCGTTGTCGCACCCCCAGCGGTGTTGGTAGGGCGGGCCAGAAGTGTCGCCCGAGAGTCCCTCACCGCTCATGATCCTGAAACTTACAATTTGCAGCAATTCCAGGGGTAGAGGGCGGGCCGTTTTCACAATACGGGCCGACTGTACAGTGGTCTTTTCCTTCCCCAGACATGCGTCGTCCTGATTTTTACAGGACGGCCTCCCTGAAAGTCCCGACCCTTTCCCCGGGACCAGTTGTTCGGCCTGAGTCGTTTTTTGACGGTCCCGAGGCCTGGCGAGGGCCCCCGGGGGCCGAAAATAGCCAAGCACCTCCCGTCCTGATTTTTTTACGACGCGATCATGTCTGGGTCCCGTCCTCGAGCCGCACGACGTCGGCGACCGCTGCCCGCAGGGGTCGCCCGGTGCCGGGCTGCAGCCGCTGGACGACGCGGCGGCCGCCGGCGGGCTGGGCATTCGCATTCCGAGCCCCGACTGCGCTGAGGAGCGCCGAGCTTTTAGACGGAGGGTCACTCGGCTCCCTCCCTCTCCCCCTGAGGAGGAGCAGGGGGACGAGGAGGAGGAGGAGGAGGAGGAGGAGGAGGAGGAGGAGGAGGAGGAGGAGGATCTCTCCCCCTCTCTCTCTCTCTCCTCTCTCTTCCCTCCCTTTTCCTCTCCTCTGCTGGTCTCTTCTCTCCTTCCTTCCGACCCCCAGAGGCTGCTCCGACTCCCCTCTCATTCTCTTTCTTTCTCTTGCTCTTTTCCGTGCCGCAGCCACGCTTCCTCGAGGGCCAGAGTGGCCCACGACGCGCTTGAATTCACTCCAGCAGCGTCCGCGCTCGATACTACAAAGGAGATGTGCGGCATATCATCCTGCGATTTCTTTTCTTTTCTTGCTGATTGTTCTCTCTCACTCTCTCGCTCTCTCTCTTATCCCCTCTTGTTCTCTGTCTCCCTCTCTCTCTCTCTCCTTCTCTCTCTGTCTCTCTCTTTCCAATACCATATACCTCTGTCTTTCGTTGTCTCTCTCTCGCTCTCTCTCCATATATGTATGGATTACTGCTTCTCTCTCTATGTATACACACTAGGTATATGTGTATCCTATATGTAGATGTAAACCTATATGTGTATGTTAGCCAGCGTGGACCCCAAACAGTGTGCTTCTAGCAATCTTTTCTGTGCACTCGATAATCGATGTGGATATATTTGGGTGGTGCGGTATATGTGGTGCGTTGTCTGCAGTGCGATCTAGGCGGTGCCATATATGTTGTGCAATATATGCTGTGCGGTCTAGATTGTACATTGTATGCGGTGCAACCGATGCGGTGCAACAACATCCTGTGCGATCTGGGTTGTACAACCTATGTGGTGCATTCCATGTGCTTCAACACATGCGGTGGGATCTTTGTGGTGCGCACATGTTGTGCTAAGTATCCATATGTGTTGCGCAGTATATGTGCAACATATCGGTGGTGCGATCGATGTTTTGCAATATGTACGAGGCACTACATGTTGTGTAGTCTGTGCTGTGCGATTTCTGTTGTACAATATATGTGATGCAATCCTTTTGGTGCGATCTAGGTGGTCTAACTCACTTGCCGAACTTGAGGTTGACAACTCCACCGCTCGCGCAATCATCCTACCCACCCACCCGCAACTTGGTTTGCAAAACCCATGCGGGAGCGATTGCGATGAGTGCTGGGTGTTGGCTGGTGCATCTCTGCGGCCGCGCTAGCCCGCGCACGATCGCGCGCGCAGCGGCCAGCCAGTTTGGCGCGACCGACGCGAACGCGGTGGCGCTGACCGCTCGGCACATCCCAGCGGGTACTTCAGTGCGAGTTGGCGACTTGGGCGGGCGCGTTACCATTGCAACGTCGATAACGGTAGACACGATGATGATAGTAACGATGCTGGTGACGAGGATGACAGCGACGACGGGGCAGCAAGTGACGGCACCGATGCTGATCACGCCGGCGACGATGACGGCGTCTTCGCGTCGGTGATAAAAAAGGTTTTGGGAGGAATTGGAAATGCGCGCGCGGCAGACGCGCGAGAGTGGCGCGCGTGGTTTTATTTGACACGGGCCGTGCCACCCCAGCACGCGCGCAAAAGGCGTTCGAACGATTTCGACATGCGCGCGCACGAAGCCCGCTTGGTAGCATGTTATGGACATGTAGAAAAGCGTATGGTTTCTTCGGAATTCGCAAGAGCGGGAACGTTTTTGTTGAGCATCCGTCTTGCGGAACCATGTTTTATTTAAGTGTTTCGCACGTTCGATTTTGACATCTTTTCATCATCGAATGTTTTTGAGGGGGTTCAGCATGCGCGCGCGACGACGCGCGCGCGTGCACGTTGTTTTTTTGGGGGGTGGGCAAACGGTTTTTTGACAACTTAGGATTTTCGATAAACGAGTGTGCGCGCATAGTAATGAATGCAGGGGAACCGAGGGGGGACCGATATCGATTTGGCTGGGCTAGTATGAGTTCGCAGGTATGATGGACATTGGGTCCGAATCGTATATGTTTTGCATCGGTTCCCCGGGGGAGTCGATACGTCCAGCGGGGGAGGGTGGTAGACCCTGTTTCCCTTTAACATAAGAGGATCCACGTGGCGCAATCAATGGGGCGCAGTCTATCTCATGGCCTTCGCCCCATCCCGCCACCGTGCCTGGGTTGCGGGAGTGCCGCCTATTGGATGATCGGTGGGATCTCGTTGGTGGCCTCTCGGGGGCCACTTGGAGGCAGTTTGCCAGCTCCTTGGGGGCGTTTTGGAGGCTCCAGGGGCCTCTTTGGGGCCTCTTGGGTGCCTCTTGGGGCTCTCTTGGTGACCTATTGGGGGCCTCTTTGGGCCTCTTGGGCGCTTCTTGGGACCTCCTAGAGGCCTCTTCGGACGGAAAGCTCGGATGTGGGGGTTCGCGTTCCCTCTCTTGGGCCCATTTTGGGGCCGTTTTGGGGCCCCCTCTCTGGCTGTCCCACTTTCCCGCCCGTTCTTGAGTTTTTCTCTGGCCTTCTTCTGTCGAATCCTAAACTACGTGACGCATTCCCCGAAGTTCGGTCGCGGCTTGTTAAGCTTCCTTCCTCTACAACTCTCATGCGCGGCTTTCCCTTCGGATCCCATCACAAACATATTCAACACGGATGAAGCGTATGACATCACCCATGGGATTCGAGCATGGTTCTCAGTGGGCTTTGTGCGGTACGTACAGTCCAGCGCGCTCTTCAACGTTATGATTTGCACTCTTGCTCGGTTCTAGCAGCTCTTTCAACTTTACCGTTGGCTGGTGAGTCTCCGACGGGGCTGACTTCAACTCCCACGTTTACGTCACGCGTGACCCTCATGGGGGCCTTTTGGGGGCCTCTCGTGGGCCTCTTGGGGGCCACTTGGGGCCTCCGGGGTGGCTTTTTATCTTGACCCGATAGTTGGCGTTTGCTCAATGGCCCTGGGCGTTTACTCAAACGCCCTGCCCTGTGCGATTCCTCCTGTGGGTGCGTTTACTGCACGGCTTCGCGCACCGGGGTGGTTTTTATGGGGGTGGCCTTTTGATCTCTATTTGGCGCCTCTTGGGCCGTCTTGAGGCTCGGGCCGTTTTGGCCCTCTTGGAGGCCTCTTGGGTCGTCTCGGGGCGATCTTTGGGACCTACAGGGCCGTCTGGGAGCGTCGGGAAGCCGGAAAAGGCGAGGACGCCAACAACTTTCACCACACATATGCAGCATCAATGATTTTGGCCTCTTGGAGCCCTCTTGTGAGACCTTTGGGGCGTCTTGGACGCTTCTTGGGCCGTCTGGGGGCCATCTTAAGCGTCTTGGAGCGATCATTCGGCGACTCGGGGCCCTCGCGGACCGTTTTTTCGGGGCCCTCCTGGGCAAGAAAAAGTGACGAGCCACTCATGCGGGAAGCCCTGGCAAGCCCAGAGAGTTTTGTCATTTCGGGGTCCGGGCCCTTTCAAGAAGTCTCAGGATTGAGGATTGAGGCTGGGGGGATGAGGCAATGGACCTGAGGACATGCCTACGGTAGGTTCGCGTCGTGTCGACCAGCGGCTACCCCAGCGCGGGCGTTCAAGGTTGAACGCCGCCGGCGACCCAAAATCAGTCGATGTTGAACGATCGGACGTTTCGTAAACTACCGATCGTTCAAGGTTCAACGCTTCCCGCGGTGTCAGGGACCAACGCGGGGGTCGGCACGACACGAACCTGCCGTACTCCGTGCCCAGTGGCGCGGTGGCGGATTTGAGGGGTTGTGCTCGCCCTCAGCACGCGCGCAAGAGCGTTTGAGTGATTTCGACACGCGGGCGACAGTGCCGTTTAGACGCGTTTGATAGAAATGTTGAAACACCACTGGTTTTCTTTAGAATTCGCAGGTTTGCGAGCAGATTTCATTGAACAATTATGTGCAGAACCAGGTGCTTTATTTCTTTCGGGACACTCGATTTTGAAATCCTTGCGAAACCCAAGGGTTTTGAATGATTTCGGAATGCGCGCGCGACAACACGCGCGTGTGCACGTCGTCCCTGTTTCCAAGGGACTATTGGAGACCGATGCTTTTTGATGAACAAGTGTGTGCGTTGACTATTCTTTGACGCGGATGAGGGTGGATGTCGGTCCATGTTGTGCGATCCATGTGGTGTAATCTGTGCGGTGCAATCCAGAGTGAGGGGGCCGAACGGTCATTCACAGTCCCTGGATGCGTGACTAAAATGGGATTCCTCGATGCGGAATTTTATTGCTTTTGTTGTTGAACTTTCATTTCTGAAGAATAATTCATGTTGATCCCCCCCGTCCGGTGCACATTGTTTTTTTTTCGATTGAAGTGCCCTTCCTGGGGCTCGCACCCTGTCGCTTATCTGGGAAAGTCTTGAGGGTCAAACTGTGTCGTTGGCCCCCGGTTTACAACAACACCGGCTTCCGCCTGATACTTCCTCATCATTTATTGAAGAATCGCGCTCTCGCTTGGGCCTTCCTGGCCATTTACCATCAGATCGCGGCTCCCGTTTGATATTTCTTTACAATGTATTGAAGAATCGCGCTCTCGCTTGGGATTTCCTCGCGACTTATCACCGAATCGCGGCTTCCGGTTGATACTTCGTCACAATTTATTCAGATGCCGTTCCTCGACACTCAGGAATCGCGCTCCCGCTACATATCGCCTGGCGATTTAAGCAGAATTTGCGCTTCAACCACCCGCCCGCTCGACCCGCCCGTCTGGGCCTGCCCGCCCGACCAGCCCGTTAGAGACTGCAGTCGTCGCTCGCTGCCCTTCGCCCGCCTTCGATGCCCCTCGCTGCCCGTACTGGTTTTGCGGTCGCCTTCGCTCGCTGCCCTTCGTGGCTGCCCTTCGTGGCC